AGTTTTTGCGTTTTAATATATTCACTTTGTTCCGCCTTCAATCGGGCAAATGTTATTTCGATCAGAAACAGAGTTGCAAAAAAGCTGCGGGTACGCGGGTACCACCCGTAGGAAGGTTTGCTTTGAATGAGGTTTCTGAGGAAGGTTCAAAGTTGGACACTCTAATTGATCACATGCATGTACCAAAAAACCAAATATTTCTTTATGCTGGTTGCCACTTGACTCAATGACGTAACGTCATTTTGAGGAAGGTTTTCAAAACTTGAAATCTTACTGGAGGAAGGTTAAACTCTTTTTGCAACTCTGATCAGAAAACCTGGCCAGAATGCGTTATGCTTTCACACAACATATGCTTCATGCGACCGAGCGTGAACACACTGCTTTATGCGACACGCACGTGTGATAATTATATACAATCATATCAGAGGATTCCGATAAGTCCCTTTTTTTTGTCCTCTCGTTATTCTATACATCAGTGCTTTTAACATGACGGCTGACGTGGATACCGGTAGCTAGTGTATCTAAACAGAGAAATCAACTGGTCCCAACTATGACGTGTTGCTATTTTCTTCTGTTGTTCTAAATAAAGTAACTTGATTTCTGCGTGTATAATGATATTTGATACTACACCAGCAGTATGTATACGTAACGTATATACACCTATTTTAGAGGGAATTTTAGTATCTATCTGTGAAGAAAGTTTACAGCTTTTCCCACCATAATTTAAACGTGAGTATTTTATTAAATAAATCTTTGCAGGGGTCGTTGGTGCATGACTATGCTCGTGTTTAAACAAATTTTACGATTAAATTTTTACAATGAAATTCCGTCTTAAAATCAAAATGTCGAATGTCGTGCGTGCAATTTTCTCAGCCGCTATTTTATAGAATTTCTTCAAACCTCAGTATTTGGTAGATGATAACAGGCTCTTTTAACCGGCGTTTAACATGAAATTATTTTATTCGTAGAAAAATATACTAATCAATATTTCCAATTAGAGCGCAGCAAAGCCGAAGAACAGTACAAAACGAAGAATCGCAATCTGTTTCTCAAAAAAGAAAATATATTAAAAATTTAGAAATAAATGTTTACTGATTTTTGAAAAATTTTTCACAAAAATCTACCAATATGAAATATATGATTGCAAATTAGAGCATGAGCAGTAATATATTCTGACTTTCACTGGATCCGCCACTGGTCAACCGAATGGCAGGTAAAGAGAAACTCTGCAACAGACCTAAGTCTGCCTAGGCCGAATCGAGAGTATCTTAAAAAAAGTTTCAAATATAGCGGCGCTATATGCATTGGAATCAGCTCCCAAACGAAGCAAAATCAGCCGAGTCGCTTCGTTTGTTTAAATCAATTGCTGTTGGACACTGAAACGCATCCTACTTATTCATATAATCTATCTATGTGTGAAACTGTCTGTGTGTATATTGTTCTGTTTTGTAGTCATATTAACTGGTTTTTTTTTTAATTTAAACACGCCCCTCATGGAAACCAGCCTAGAGTTGATGGGGCTAGCGTGTTTCTTGGTTTTAAATAAAGTTTACCTACCTACCTACCTACAAAATTAGTTTTCAGCTTATTGAAATTAGGCCATTTTCTTTGCATTGTAGGAAAAAGCTGACGATGTGTGTTCGGAAATCATTAGCCAAGATAGGATTTTTTGCTCTATTTGTTATCACATTGTACCGCCTTAATACCAGCTTTAATTCACATGGGAGTTATAGCTTTAAAAAACATTACCGCTCCGAAAACAGCTCTGGAAAACATCTCGCTTTAAATCGAAGGAGAAATTTTACAATTCTTGATTGGTGTCCCACTTTCTTCAGCAAATTAAACGGCCAGCCAGTTAATGCATTTTTCGACAACTGTCTCGTAACTAGAAATAGGTCACTACTGGTATCCAGCGATGTTATCGTTGTTGACGTTAGGAGATTAGGCAATAACCTCCAATTTATGCCACAAAAAAGATCACCTTGGCAACGATGGGTATACTTCAACATAGAATCGCCGTTCCATGCCATTATAGATGCCGTTAATTACAAGATGAGCGATTTTAGGCGTAAGTTTGCGTTCAACTGGACAATGACGTATCGTACGGATGCAGATGTCCCAATGTTGCATGGTTGGAAGGTGAATAAAAGCGAAATTGAGAAAAAAGAAACAGATATAGACGGCATTGTGCGAAATAAAACCAAACTTGCGGCCGCGTTAATAAGTAACTGTCACTTAGTAAAAAATGGAAGAGGTCAGTATGTAAAGGAGCTACAAAAATACATCGAGGTCGACATCTATGGACAGTGCGGTGATAAAAATCTCAAATGTGCTGGCCACTACACTAAAAAAGCCTGCGATAAAATTAAAGATTATAAGTTCTTCCTAGCATTCGAAAACTCGAACTGCCGCGACTACATCAGTTTTAAAATGTGGATGCAAGGATTTGGAAACAATGCTGTCCCAGTTGTCATGGGCGCTTATAAAGAAGACTATATTGAGCATGTTCGTGCACCTCCAAACTCAATCATCCATGTGGATGATTTCGAATCGCCGCAAGAGCTGGCAGAATATATGAAAATACTTGACAAAAACGAAACAGCTTATAGAGAGCTGCACAAGTGGCGCGAATCTTACAAGATTGATTACGACTATCGCTTTTTGGGCACATTCGCTTGGAACACCCTCTGTTCAAAGCTGAACAGTCGGTACAACGAACCACCAAGATGGCACGAAACTATCACAGATTTTGAACATCCGAGCAAAGATTGTTACCTGAATAAGTGGGTGAAAAAGAAATGTAACAAAAACCCATACAAATGTCTTTAGAGTTCCCAAACGATGCTTACTCGTAAAATTTTAGAACGAGAACCTATATATGAATGTAGTTATTATAGAGAAATTTAGCAAACACCTGGCGCCTATATCCACGCCATTTTCACGGCGTCTTAGCCGTCACGTCGTGTTTGTAAATTTCGCTATTAACAGAACTTGTTCGTGTGTGGAATGCTAAAAATTGCCTTAAATAGTTGTCAACAACACATAGTTGTCGACAACAGACAAAAAACCGGTCGTCTGTCGATGCTCTTAGCAAGTATATGCGTGCATGGGTTGAAAACAAGGTATTCGGTTCTTTACCACGCAGAATGGAAGGAAAACAACAATCGGTATAGAAAGATTCGGTAGTAGAGGAGGAAATGGGCAAATAACACATTAAAGTACAGGGACATTCTCCAGAAAGTCCTATAATCACTCGAGTCGGGAGAACGCAATATCGGTATGAGTCCAGTAGACGTGAACGGACACTTTCGGAACTTGAGGTCCGGTCATGCAGCAGATAGTTTTAAAAGTGATATTTGAAGAATATATATATCAAAGGCCTTCAGATCGAGTTACCAGACGAGTGCTCTAATTCAAACAATCTTACAAAAGCATCATTTTATCAGTGCTGCTACAAAGCATATTCAAAAATCCAGAAAATATATAAAAAGAACGCGAGAATTAAACAAAAAGTTTTATTAATTAGAGTTTTACCCCGAGCAAACAAAAGGGGTCGATTGGCTTATTCTATTATTTCATTGTTCTATTTTGTTCTGTATAATTTATGAATATAAAATGATGCAAAACTTTTTTCGTCGCTTTTCTTAGCAAACTCAAATTCTCATTCCCCTTATACTTTCATGCACGATCGCGATAACTCAAAAAGTAATAAAGCTAACTTGATAAAATTTTCATGGTTGACTTTAAAGACAATTGGGTCGGAGGTAAACTAAAATTGGTGTACTCCGTTCAGTCTAAGTAAAATAGCGACTGTTTATTTCAGATAGATCGTAGAAGTTTTATATTAATAGCCTGCAAAACGTTTAATACTGGAAACGTTTTTTAATTCTAAGTTCAGCTTCGAGGCAAAAATATTTAGACCTAAATTTATAACCATTGTTCTAGAGTTAAAAACTAGTTAGTTAAAAACTAGTTAGCAAAAACAATTTTGTGATAAACAGAATTTCCTGATAAAACCCTGGGTACGAAATTGAGAATTTCCTACCTTTTAAATTAAAAACTTTTAAATTTTAATTAAGATGTGCAGTGTTGATGTTGGATTTAAAACTATCTATTTCAGATTATACTTCATTAACTGGGTGAATTCAAAGCGTCTGCACTGCCGGTCACCACTTTGCTGACACGACATTTGACCGAGAAGACATTTCGGGGATTGTAGATTAGAAAAGCGTTCTTAATGTGAAGTTAAAAGGTGATTTAATTAAAGTAATCAACGTAGCTATCTCACTTTTGTGAAGTCGAACTGATTATAACAGTAAATAAATAATTTAGATTAGTTTGGTAGTTAATACGGTATACAGCATCTTTTTTGTTCATCTCATTAGATACTGACGTTATTTATAGGATATAGCGATATTAGCGAATACATTTGGGAACCAATATTCATGTTTGTGATTGGATGTAATGGAACGTTAAAGTAACTAACAACAAGTTATAAAAGAAATGCTTTGACTAAAGAATGTTGATTTTTTTTTCATTGATTAAATTAAATAAAGCACTTCTGGCTCAGCTTGGACTGATGTCCACTTTTTAGGGAGGGAATACCTTCGTATTTGTATGCTAGTATTTGTCTTGAAGTATATTTTTTATTTTGCAAAAAATAACATCGGAAAAATTGTGACAATCCCATTCTATACCTGTTAAAAAAATACCCGTTGCAGCTGTCACATCATGCATAAGGCGCCGGACAAATCGCAGGGTCGATACAGGCAAAAGGCGTGCGGCCTAGAAAATTTTAGGGCGGCACGCGAATGATTTCAGCAGATTTCATCCAACATTACATTCGATGCTGCCCACCTCCCCTCCTCGTACGTCTATGGCGACAGTGGAGATCCGGGGTTGTCGCTAGGGCGTATTTTATCCATAGTCAAAATGTTTTATCAAGTAATCTACAAGAATATTATTATAGGATAAGATTTATTTGCTTTTGGAAAATACAAAACGTTAAAAACTCGCGCCGCGTTGCCAAATCGCGTCCTGCCTGTGTGGGCCAGCCGTGACGCGTGTAATATAGAACAGAAAAGAAGTGAGAAAGTTGTTTGGGTCTAGGCCAATTCCCTTTGTGAATAGTTTAACATGCAAAATTGAAAAACTGGCAAAAGGTAAGTATGTAGACAAATGTAAGCTGTTGTATTTTAATATTGTGGTGTTGCTACAATTAGTTAACTAACCGGACAAGCTGAAGAATTAACGCGAGGATTCCAACGTGCGACCTCTTAGGTTTGCAACAACAGGGGCGCCGGGACGATGCGAGAGCAGATTTGGTGAAAATGCACTCCTGTAACAGAGCATATATAATAATTTAAGCATGTTTGCAAAACATAATGTGTTGAATTGAGTTTTTCACCAGAATGTTATTTCAAAACTGAAAATTGAGTTTTTCACCAGACCAACTTGTTAGAAAATCTGAGCCGGCGCCCCCTGGCTACATCACAATATTACTTCATATACCAGTATCATATGCACTATCACTATCAGTTGTAATTGTTTCTTATTACGCACAGGTTGAAACATTATTGACACGTCTATACAAACAACGGTAACAAGATATTAATTCCACCACATTAACACAATAATATTAATTCCTAACACTGTACTTTCAAGTTTGTACCAAGATTAATTCATTCAATTATTGCACATTTTATGTGTAATGACATCTTTCGGCGAGGATATAAAAATCTGTGTCGTTAGTAAGGAAAACGTTAATTTTTAATTTATCAGGGATTTATCGCGGGAAAAGGTATAGATTTACCACGAGCCGGGTCCAAAGAGAGGACCCGTCCTTGTAATAGGAATGTCCTGACTTCAGATAAATCTGTTGTCATATGACATCAAATTGACTTTGTCTTCCTTCCAAAGCTTCTCTGGAATGTTACGCATCGCAATCAAGTTGTAATACACGATAAGCCGTCGGATCCCCCGTCGAATCCCTAATTTGAAACCGACCTTGCACCCTGCCTGACGAGGCTATAGATATTGAACTCTCAGAAAGCAGGTCGCACGCCCACCACTACAGCAGCTCCACTACGGCCCATACTCATGGCAGCCGCTACCTCCCACCGATCCTGTACACAGTCATAAACCTCGACAGAGTCGTGGAATTTCTCCCCGTCGTACCCTCCAAACACATACAGTTTGTTCTCAAACGAGGCGACGCTCAGGGCGCTACGGTGATCCAACATACTTGAGACGAGTGTCCATTCGTCTGCCACTGGATCGTATCTTTCAACGCTACTCAACTGAGTTGTCCCGTCATATCCCCCCAAGGCGTAAATATATTTACTGGCCGCTGTTACAGCAGCACCACTACGAGCTGAGTTCATTGACGCGACCAGCGTCCACTTGTCCAATGTTGAATCGTAGCATTCGACACTGTAAAAATGACAAGGATTTCACGTATATGAAAAAAAAATGTTTCGGGAATTTTTATAGAAAACCTAGTTTAATTAGCTTGACCACGGTGGGAATCGAGCCCGCGACCTTCGGCTTGCTGGTCAAATGCTCTTCCAATTGAGCTACTAGGTCGAGACGGTTCGAATAGGTGATATTTCTAAACTCAATCTATAGTCCCTACCACATAAGTGTTCCTTAATGAGTCATGTATGTGTATGGACTACACCTATTTTCCAAGATGTTATTCTTCGAATATTGATTCGTAAAGTCCGTACACATGTATGGTATGTATGCATGCATGGGGTGATTTATATCGCGTCAATACAGACAGATTCATCACAGGTTGTCATTCCATGAAATTATTGCATGGAAATTACTTTTAATAAGTATACACCACGTATATTGACTACTTAAATACTCATGTCCAGTTAAAACCAAAGCCTTTATCAGTGCAATTGAAGACTTCAAGGCAATGCAAACTAATAACTATATATAGTTGTTCGTACACCAGTCGTTAAAACAACTATATAGCTACAGTTTAGTTTCTAAGTTATTCTTCGAAGAACAACGTCTTTTCTTTCTTCAATTTAAGTGATCTTAGGAGTCAAGAAGAACTGAATACGTTCATTTTAACCTGAAGGTGAACAATATCACAATCTATTTCTATACGTACGCGTACTTGTAAATATTAACTAAACGGAGGCAAGCTATATTGTGTATAAAATCACGTACAGTAGTACAAACAAGCAAACCAATGTAAGTATAGTTGTATTGTATAGTACAGTACATAATACAGTTTTTGATCGCGTCGCGTAGCGACAGCGATCTATAGTTTCGGCTTGGTTTTTTTTTTTTTTATTTTCCTCTCGGGTCGACCCCCAGCGTCGCTAGCTGCGGGCCATATCACCCTAATCGGGAACCTGCGCACAGGTAAGTTGCTAGTTATATCACGTGTTGTATTCACTTTGGGCATATTTCGTTTCACCTTCGAACTTCGAAGCAGTAAAGTAGAATCAATAAAGCGATCAAAATGCTAGCAAGTGTTATCTTTATCTTTACACTCATTACACATACAACTAACTGCACACGTTGAGCAGAGTAAGCCTGCACTAAAGGATTTCAAGCAGTTTCGAAATGGGCTGTTTTGTGTTTCTCCTGCTTTCAACATGCGACTATAGTTCGGTATATTGTTCATTTTTATTATTAAGAACATTTACGACACAAAATTTGCATAGCTGGGCTGGCTACGCCGCTGTGAACGACGCGATCATATAACGCCTAGTAGGCGTCTTGTTTTTTTTAAAGCATGCACAGAACCAACGCTAAAATATCAATTCGGACCGCCAGAAGAAAAAAAAAGTATTATTCACCAGTTTAGTCGGTCCGAATAGGTAAATATTTCCCTCGGTCTCAAAAACCTCCCTAGGCCTTTAGCCTCAGGCTGTTTTTGAGACCTTGGGAAATATTTCCCTATACGGACCTCCAATCTGGTAAATAACTTATATATATATATATATATATATATATATATATATATATATATATATATATATATATATATATCGAATACAAAAGAGTTTTAGTGTTTCTCACCTATCCAGACGACGTACTCATTTCGAATACAAAAGAGTTTTAGTGTTTCTCACCTATCAAGACGACGTACTCCATCGTATCCTCCAACGGCGTAAAGCTTCCTGTCGATCACAGCAACTCCGACTCCTGAAAAGAACGGCCGAAAGTAAAGTTTGAAGTATATTTTCCTCAGCATCGTCAGAACTAATAGCCGACTTGGCACTATTAATATATACTGTGGGACAATACCGCACAGCCGGTAAGGACAATAATTGAAAGAGAAAACAAAAAACCAACGGAATCGTTTTTCGCGACATTATTGGGTTACAGTGACAAACATGCAGTACGACAGATTGCGTAAAATTTATAATTGAACGCGTAGAAATTACAGTATTCAATTTCTTTTGAATATTTACTATTAATATTGATTATGGGTCTTTATCCGAATCTAATATATATAATCTGCACATAGTATTCTTTGACTGAAAAAGTTGGATTGAAATATACTTTTTGTCGACACACCATAGTTATGAACAAATCCTTGGGAGATAGGCTTTAAGAGGAAACTAGGGAAATCTGCAGAATATTTCTGCAAACATTGTTTAATTCTCATTCAAGAAATCAATTGCTGTACCTATCCTTGGGACCGTTAGTGGAGAAACTTCGACCCAGCAATCTTCGTCCGCATCGTATTTTTCAACATGATTTAGGTACAAGTTACCATGACTACCACCGATAGCATAAACGAAACCGTCAATGACGCCAATGCCGACCCGATTGCGCGGAACTGTTAGGGACCGTACGGATTTCCATTCATCCAAGAGAGGATCGTAACGGTCGACGGAGTCACAGTCAACATTGCCACTTAACGAGTTGTTACGTCCACCAATGATATATAACATACCACCTACGATGAAACATAACAATATCGTCAATCCAACGGTTTATGAGAGATGGGTGTTTCTCAGATATTTTTCTACGAAGAGCACTTTTGTTAACGAAACACCTTTCTTATAACGTTATACACAAAGTTCGATTGATCGACTCCGAAAAACTAACGGGCCATTCAAACTTCGGATAATATTAGACTTAATTCCGTGCTCGGTGTCATGATGAGAAGGGTCTAATGTCGATTTAAAAAAATTAAGATGTTAAATAGCTATAGCTATATTCACGCATTATAATAATTCAGAAAGATTTCACTGTTCATTTGGGCAACCAGACGACCCAACGTTTCGACACTCCCCGTCTACTCACTCAGGGCTGTTCTGATGTGGAACTGTCGATCCTTATACACTCTGAAATCGTCTTTAAATAGGAATCACAGAAGCTGCTTGCGAAAAGAATATTTCATTTCATTGGCAGACGACGACATGTCAGAGGATAGAAGGATCAACGGTTCAACATCAGATCACCCTGATGAAGACACTACACGGGAGTGTCGTTTCGTTGGGTCGTGAATGTAATCTTTGGGCGAAGATTTCTTTCATTATTTGAAACCAGAGTAACAATAATAGCGATGGACCTTTTAATAACATTTGGTCTTGTTTGTTCCAGATCTTGCACAAAAAGTTTTTCCAGTAGAACCTATATCTCTTCCTAATTTATCAGAATTAAGATGGACTGTCAAACTGAATACAATCCGGATTTTTTAGGAAAGTATCACTTCATATTATTGTATAAAACAGAATAAAAAAATTATTGTAATAAAAACAATTACCTCAATGTATTATAAAAACATTATTTCAGTCATTATTTGTGTAAAAGAACTCGCCCGATAATCGCTACCACTACAGAATTTCAGGTTACAGCACTTACCAACAAAAGCTGCGCCTGCGCCACTTCTTGGTTGCTGTAACGACTTGAGTAAACTCCACGAATTATGACGCGGGGAAAAACATTCAACAACTCTTAACGATTGCCGCAGATAACCGCCAACAATGTACATAACCTGGGACCCTGTTGGAGATCTCTTCTTTACGTGAACTGCCCGAGAACAGCGACTCTATTTGGAAGAAAGATGAAGTCAGGGCGAGAAATATCCTTAATCTGCGTAATTTGAATTTCTACGTGCGTAGCATTCATATAGCTAATTATCACAATTCACAAACCCATATGAAAACTAAGGATGGCTCTATCGTATTTGTAAACTGAATCTATATTCCAATTGGAAGAGTTGCGTATACTATAAACATCAACTCCCACCCCCCGAAGAAAGAATAAAATACAAGTAGTTATTTTATTCAAAACCATGTTGCTTTAAAACGGCACGACTTGGTCACTCAAAACGTTAATCTTCCCCCGAGGTACTGATACAAGGTAATTCAGCCTTGAGACTGCCGAAAAAATCTTTAACACAATCTTTGAAAAAATCTCGAGTAATACGTGTAAGCTTGCAGTTTAAAACGTTTACCAAAGCCAAAGGGAAAAAAAGTGTTTCAGTTAAGCATCAGGAAAATTTTTAGGGTAAGTGTCGATCGGAAAATGTCAATATTTCCACTGCAATTGCCATACACGCTAATCCTAACTGCTTTATACGCCGATCATCCAGAAATGGGAATGTTTGGACTCATCAAATTTTGTTTGTACTTGCAATATAAAAAAATATAAAATGCACCTTTAATAGACCAGGTTAACTGCACCACTGAGCTGCACTGACTGAAAATAGTATCAGTATGCAATGTTTTGATCACTATTTCTCTTGAAATCTACTAATCAATTATTGGACGACGTCGAACAAAATATCGTGATTTGTCGGTGGCAAACAGGCCAAATTATTTGCCCAGGCCGAAGGCAGAGCATAGGAATGAGCATAGGAAGCCCAGGAAACAAATGAAACAATGTTGGTTCGTAAGGTTATAAAGGTTAAATCATTAATGTTTGCTGGGCTGCCTATGGGCAGAGGCAATTAAATAATTGACCTGCAAGCCACCGACAAATCGATAATTGTTTTATTATTCACTTTCCGCTTTTTTTCTTCGAGTAAGCAATACAACTCATTTTCCGAAAGTTCAGCAAAGCATACGCATGCTCAGAGCAGAGCAGTTAAAAAATTGAGAATACGATAAAGTGAATGACCTAAATGCATGCCTTTAAGACTATAAGTGCTCCCAACCTAATACATTGCTTCATGTTTTTCTAAGCAAATTTAAAAAATAAAACACCCTTTTCACATAGTCAACTAAAATAAACAGGCAGCAACATCATATATCAGGTACATAATTTAACTTGCTCTGCATAGTTCAATATAATAATCGCACATTGTATATGCCAATGTGCAAAGGCAATGAACAATTGAATGTTTACATTATTTTTTGGATGTTTTTTTATGACTAGCACTATTGTTATAAAGATTTAGGGAGTCAAATAATTTAAATTAAATTTATGAGGCCCAATCATGTAGACAAAACTGTGCATTTTACCTGCAGTTTAAATGAAAGCAGAAAACTACATACTGCTACTAATATTATTGGAAAAAAATTACTCACAGTGCAAATATCTGATATCAATTGCAGTAACATAACATCATTTGGGTCCGTTGATTTACATAATGACTGAACAAAACCAGGAGAGACAAAGGGCAAACGAACATGGGACAGTATTCGACATAAAGAATGCCTTCGGTTTTCCATATCATGTTTTATCCATCGAATAGCAGCTAATAAAACCTGGAATTGAGAAATATAATATGTTGCTTGTATTAGTTCCAGTTAAAAGATGGCCAACTGCCTGTATACAAAAGATTTCATTATTAATTTGATATTGCAACTTCTTTACTTGCAATCTTGATTAGAATGCAAGAGACAGAAGCAGCTAGGCCAGCTAGGACTGTACCGGTACACAACAATGTTGTGTTTTAACTGTTTGTTATGATAATAAACAGGCCATAGTAGATTGCATCAGCCAGGTAACTGATATGCAGACTATTTTTCTTAGTGAAATGAAATAATGGTGTTACTGAAAAATGTCACAAAAATCGAGTTCACAGCAACTGTGTTAATGAGCCTCTCCTGAAAGTTCAAGCTTTAAATTACCAAAATGTCATTTCCAACATGCATAACATTGGAAACAGAGCTAAACTGACTACCCTTGTGTACTATTTTCATATACAATTGTTTTTGAAACAAATCCCATCAGCTATAAGATGAATATATGAATAAGGCACTTAATAATCATTAGGCTTTTGCATAGAAATTAAACAATTGTTCACACACAGGTCAAAAGCTGGACAGCACGAAAATGTTCTCAGAACTTCTGGGATGTATTAAACTGAAGATTAGATCCCGAGTGTTTTGATCATTACACTGTTGGAAATGACTCCAATCCTACTCAATTGATTTCAACCTATACCCCACCTCGTCTTCATTTTTTACACACAACCCGTCGCCATCCATTAGTGAGCATAACCTGTCTTCAGTGATGGAAAGAAACTCTTCTGCTCTCGCAACTTTTGAAAAATACCGAGTACAATAATGGCGCGACTTCAACGCGAGTTCGTCGCATCCGTGTAGCTCTCCAAAGGACAGTATACCTAAACAGTTTGACGGATCTAACTGGCCCACCAAGAAAGCGCAACACGCCTTCAGGACGGATGAAATTTGCAACAAGGAGGCGACAGGCAAAAGAGCTTGAACATTGCTCTCGTTTACAGTAATGTCTGCCGTATAGGCAAAGTTTACCAAGATCTCTACGCAGTTCGCGTCCACATCTTTTAATGTCACAACCGACTGTTTGCTTTCCGCTAAGTTATTTGTAAACATAGCGTAGAAGTAGGGACTACACGATGCTAGAACAATACGGTGTGCATGAATTTCAATATTCTCTACACATAACACGATGTCACAAAGTTCTTGATGATTTCGTAGCGTATTCATCGTCGTAAAGGCCTCAAGTAAATGTTCCTCGATATGAAGCACACCCTCGTTCATCGTTAATCACAAAGGGCAACAGTTTAGTTAAAGAATCTTTGGTTTTACATCTTGCATGTTTACTTTTCTTCTTAATTTTCCTTCGAAGGAATGAGAACGAAAAGTGTTAGCGGTGAATTGTCTGCATAGTACGTCATGTTACTGCAGTTCAATGCAACTTTCGTAAGAGAACTCTGGGAAACTGTTACCACTTACCAGTTACCACAGATTTTCGAATCTCGTTTCATATGTTCGAGATGGATGGATAAGCACATGGTCGCAACTTGCCTAGAATCACAAGCCACTACTACATTCGTACCAAATCTAAAATTGAACATGCATAGCGTGCAAACATCATAGACTTCATTGGAAGTATTTATATGCCACACAGCTCAGTTCAATCTACATATACAGGTAACGATTTCGCAGCATGCAAATATGCGTGTTTATGATACGGTAGAATTAATAAACTGACTTTATATGCACTTTTTAATGCATACAACGGGTTATTCACGCACGTAATATGGGAAGAACGCATCATCTCTTGCATACTGCGGAAGCGAATAAGCCTAATAGCCTGCAACTTTCATATAACTGCAGTCTGACAGTCTGTCCTGTCCACTGGTCCTGTCCTGTCCTGTTGATATTCATTTCCATGCCCATTCCCAATTTACGTTATAACACGTGTAATTCATAGCGACAGTAAGGTCGCTAATTTTGCAGGGTTATGACATTTTCTACGTTTGTTTCTACTCATTCCCAGATTCCCTTTAAAGTAATGGATTTCACTCTTCTTTCCCATATCAACCCGTCTCTAGGGCAACAAATTGTCGAAGATATTTTCGTGCATTACCTACTTCGTAAAAAAAGAGTTCCATATTTGCTATAAATAGCAGTTAGCACGGCAATCTATAATACAAATATTCATGCAAGCAACGTTTTTCAAATATATCTAGCAAAGCGAAGTGTAGGTTTTTATTTCGTGAACTTAATATAGGAGTGAAATATTTGAAACGGTTTTACATAATTCTGATATCGCTGATGACAAAAACCTTCTCAAAAGACTTTAACAAGTCTGAAGATCATTGTTATATGATAGTGAGACTTATTTTTACACAACGGTAGCATGTACCACGCCCAAAGCCTTGACAGAGCACAGACAGAGCTGTCTGTGGAGGTGTGATTCAAATGTCAAACGTATTGTAAAACTGGCCAATAGGCAAGCATATGGGCTAATAGTTATTATGTTAATGCGCTTAGTCAGGTGATATTTTATCCCAGCAATCTACTGCACAGTCACTTTATAATCTAATGATTAGAGAAAACCAATATAGACAATTGATATCCCGTTTTACCACCGATAACAGAACATTGATTGATCAAATATATACAAACTTAATTGAGCAGAGAATTCATGCACGCACTCTAGGGAGCTACTTCAGTGATCATAAAAGCAATATAAGCTTCTCTAAGCAGTAAAAAATAATGAAACACCTCCATATCTACTCTCGGTAGTCAGAAAATGTTATAAATATTAAAGAATATAGAAAACCAATCACTTCCTTTTCCTCGCTAAAAACTAAAAATTTCGTAAACATCAAACACCACGGCTTGCAACAGGTACGCACCGCGTACCTATTTTTTATTTTCTGATCGTTTGAGAAGATCAGATATACAGGGTTCGTATGTCATATAAACCAAAGGCAACCTCTTCGAACAAAAGAGAAAAATTTAATTTTTCATATATTTTCAGTATATGCATTTTACAAATAAATATGCATTTTATACATTGTTTTTTCCCGATGGAGTTAAAAGTTATATTTCTTTTATACCAAATCGGAACTATCAAAGCTACTTTAGCAGACAAGCATTCTTCAAAAACAATGAACTGAGACCCGTTGTACAAACCTGTCCAGTTACCCGCCCCGAGAGCAAGGGACGTACCGAACTGCAAGAGAAGGGGCAAGTTTCGTTTACTCAAATATAATGTATCGATCCGTTTTAAAATCAACCCAGCACGCAGCAGAGGCAACTGATATGTTTCCAACACTTTTCTTCAGTTCAATAGAACAAATTTGGATATAAGAATGAAAAAAAGTGGACAGGTTTGTGCAACAGGTCCTATGTAACAATTAAATCGTTAGAGTGACGGTTAGACTCAATATTTAAAGCAATACGCGCGGGTGTTAAAGGTATGGTCAGGTACATTACCTAATTAAGTTTGTTCGGGTTACTCTTCGTTTGAAGTGTGCTACCTATGTCTATTACTTTCAAAGCTGGTTAAAAATGATCAATTTGACAACCCCCCTTTCATTGTTATTTCCCGTAAATCATTGTAGGCTATTGCCACCAAAAGATTACCCTGCAGCAGCAGCCAGGCTACGACGTAGTAGGAGCTATACAGGACAGCCCAATTTCAGATATATCAATGGTGGCAACGACGCGTACCAGTGACTTTTTATTTGTGCCATTCAGCTTGTTTCATTTCGTCAAGATTGTCAGCGACCTGCAAAATCATGAAAACAGTCTTTCACCAATTTGACAAGCTTTACCAAATGAATGAAGTTGTAAGTTGTAACACAAAATTTTAGACGCTCATTCTAACGTTTGTAACTGTATATTTCAGTGAAAACATGCACGTCCACTCATATAGAGATAAATGGACGAAAACTTTGTCAAAAAACCAAAAACAACATCTGTTGATCTATACGTACAACCACGAAGTCAAAGATCAAACATTAGATTGGTCATAATTCTACAACTGAATTTGCTTAAAAAGAGGCCGACTAATTAATTTTCCACATTTTGGGGAAAAATCACGGTAATTTAAATCGAGTGCATGATACTCTGAATGCCTTATGTGAATAAGGAAAACACTACTTTTCAGCCTTTTCAGGACACTCACAGAAAATTGACATCCTGTATTCACTTGGATTTCATGAATACTCGTTCCAGGCCAAAGTTCCACCAGAGTCAAACCGTGTTCACGATCAACTTTGAAGACGCACTAAAATGTCAAGAGAATGTTCAAAATGCAGGAATGAAAATACTTCCGGTAAAATATACATAAAACATCAGAGTAGAACTTCGTGGTTTCCTTAATAAGTCAAGGCTGAACCGAGAACTTAACATACCTTTTCCGTGATTATGGAGTCTACACACCGCTCACCAGTTAACGGTAAGGTGCACTCCTCGAGAATTTTGTGCTTTCCGCCCTACAGTAAAAATGTAAATGTACTTGGGTCAACATCCGTATAATGCAGAGCAAGCGAGAACGGTCTGGTGCGTACAGGAAAAATTGGTATTGGTGCACTACCTAGCTAGTCAAATTTCACCGCACCAATTTTATCCGTTACAATCAGTTTAATGCTTCCAGAAACTTTTCACACAAATATTCGAAACTTCGTTTGGAAGTTCGCATATGCTCGTTGCGAAGTTCAAAAATTCATAAATTAACATTTCGCTCTGTAAACAACGCACTTGATTGGACCCTAAACCAATGGAAAGCTTTATTCACGAAGCAATATAATTCAATTTTGATTTTTGAACTTTGTAGAGAACTTTAGTGAGAAAAGTTACTCTGTAATTGTTGGTAATTTTAGGTTTGGTACGGATAAAATTAAGATTGATAAAATTTGGACTATATAAATAGATGGTCTAAATTTCATCCGCACCAGACTTCAATTTGCGCATCCTGTAAATGCAGTTTAAATGAGTGTTTTAAGAATTTTAACTGAGGTACAGGCTACCGATAATATAAGACCATCAAAAACCTGTCTTATGAAATGCTTAATTATACTCTCTAGCATAGTTTACTAACAGTGTTTAACCACGCGAGCCTATGTATGCAGTACTTAGGAGAACGTAACGTGATACAGAATGTTGTAACCTTAGCTGTATGTTCCATGGTAACTACAACTTTAGTTCCCGGAGACGAGACAAGGTCCATTGCTCCTCCCATTCCTTTCACCATTTTCCCCTGAAAAAATAGCGCAAAAACATAAACTAATAGCGAAATGCAGATTAAGTGTAAATATCATATGAATACTTACTTGTTTTTCAAAAAATGTACATGCATGTCTGATAAAGCAAGCGGAATACAGAATAATTATAGACACGGCAAATGTTTTCTCCTTTGCTTTAAAGCATCAACTGAAATGACTTCAGTGCAACGATGCCGAAAACATCGATAAATATCACTAAATATCACTACGTATTGCATGTACCAAATTAGCTGGTACGCATGCAGTTTTTCATCATTTTTTCATTATACCCTTTTCATAACACAGATGCAAAAAATATGGCGAGTATATATGAAGCTGCAAACAAATTAAGCGCAATTTAAAATGTATTTGCACTCTTGAAAGGTGATACCTTGCATGCATGCATTGCTTGCTCGTGCAATTGGATGAACTGGCATTGCTTGCCAGGCATAGGTTGGGTTACAAGCACTGGTATGCAGATGTCATGAATATTAGAATATATGTTTGTTCGAAAAAAATCTAAAAATGAGACGATAAGATGCTACCTAGATTGTCAAAGGCCGCAGAAAAATTTCTTCCGCTCCATCCCTGGACTGAGTTAATAAGACTATGAAAGTCATAATTGAATACCGATTTAAAAGAACGCACAAGGAAACACTAACCGGGATCATCCAGTTTGCAAGATCACCATATTGCGAAACTTGCATACCACCCAGGACTGTCACATCAACGTGTCCTCTGCAGAAGGGGAAATAATATCGTCAGAAAAAATATTTAGTTTGTCTAATTAAGCATGTTGGGCTCGGATCAGTTGTGGTTCTGGTATGTATGGTTCAATACTCGCTCCATTACTCAGCACATGCCTAGTTTTAGGTCGAAGTTATCAAGGAACATCAATATTAGGTTTTAGGTCGAAGTTATCAGGGACGTTTTGTGATCAGTCTGATTGCAGGCTTGACAAGAAAGAGATAAATTTAGAATGATATAACCAGAATGGCTAACCTACCCACGAATCATAGCAAAAGACTCGTCACTGCCGAAAAACGCTGCCCCAGGTAAAGCGGTTACAGTCTCCTTCCCTTGAGTTGCAAACAGAACAAATAATTGCATCAAGGAACGGCACAACGTAATTGTACATGCACATCATCACTATTTCAAATGCGACCTACCAGCGTTTATAAGATCAGGATCAATTTCATCTTCGTTGGGAAAGGGTCCCTATGGGATAATTATTTTCCAGATTATAGAATGCTTTACGATTTATCCAATGCATACGAAATCTACATGTCAAGACGAGCTATATGCGGTCCCAGGAGACGAACTCACCAGTCCTAGAATGCCATTCTCGCTTTGCAAATGTACGGTGATTTCGGGTTTTATAAAATTGCTTGCCAACATGGGCATACCAATACCAAGGTTAACTACACAGTTGTTAAGGATTTGCAGAAAAATGAAAAGTTTGTAATCTGGCTGCAAATGTATGTAAGTATAAATTATGCCTGCATTTTGATTGTACTGTACAAAATGGCGTTTGAATCAAATTGCTTTCCGACAGCATCAAATGTGGTATAACAACGGCCTAAAATAGACAAGAACACTTCTCGACGTTTCGACCTGAGGGCAAAAAAAACATGTGTTCAAACATTTGTGAAACATGTATTCTCCCCTATTTATTTTCATACTCTCCTGTCGAGACGTCGAGAAGTGTTTTGTCTATTTTATACCCCATTTGATGCTAGGCTGTTTGATTTGACTAAAAATTAAAATTAAACTAAATGGTTATTTCATGTACTGAAATTCCATTCCATCTAACAAAAAATTAGCAACTATTCTAGGGCGGAGCTAATCATGCACGTTTATGAAGATTGGATAAGTAGAGTTAGGCTAGGAACAGGAGATGGATTGAGAAAAGGATACCGAACATGCCATCTTCAAACTCCAGCGCGGCACGACGTATGATTCTTTCTCTAAGAAGATCAGCTTCGGATTGTGCTTTATTATCGCCGCTTTCTTTGAATATTCGGACCCGCTGCATGTATAAAAATAAATTAACGCAATTTACTATAAATATTCCATAAAACATTGACCATTCCTATATAACATTTCGAATGAATCCGACTATTTTAGCGAAAAATGTCATTACAATCGTTAAACATATGTCCAAAAACCTTTTAGTAAAAAACATTTTGGCGAGACGTACTGTGGGACATTTATTATATATACTTTGCATAAAATGTCAGCAACTTCATGCTCTCCATTTTCAACCAATACTGCTGTTGTTCGGACATTCTCTTGTTCGATATGAAAACAACATTTTTTTTTGAAAGTTTAAAAGTTCTCTTTCAGCTTGAACCGTACGCATGCATGCATGCAGGCGCACTCTAAGATGCCAAGTATTTCCTAAAGTCAAATGTGTCTTCTGCGAGCTAATATTTGATGCAATCATTACGGTACCTCGATCCTTTTCTCGTACTTTTCTCCTTTTACAACTCTATCAACATAAATTCCAGGCACGTGAATTTGGTCTGCTGGAATCTCGTCTATTTCCACAATTTCTTCAACCTGTAGGAAAAGAATTTTATATTTATTGGCACCCGTAATCCAAAGTGGCTCAAGCTCAAGCTTTCAAGCTTTTGTGAACGAGCGCAACGAACAAGCCCAGGATGAGGGTCCATTCAGTAGCTAAGAACTTTAGAGAAAAATTATTGAATTTTGCATGTCTGGTCACATGAAAACAAGGGCCACATAAATGTGCCCAAAATAGTGCTTGCAAAACAGACATGGTCTAACCATTGGAAAAACACTAAGTTTTTCACTCCTTGCATACCAAATGACTTATAGGAACGTGTTAGGTTAATATAGAATTCACTGAATGTACCTCAACAATGGTTATCTTCGCCGCTTTTGCCATTGGTGGATTAAAGTTGGCTGCTGTCTTCCTACAACACAAAACATTGATAGCAATGTTAGTTCAGTGTGTTATTCTCTTAAGTCGGCGACAAAATTTGATGTAAATAATTAAATGTTATACTTTTACGCGGTTCTCGTCTTTATCTAACAAGCGGTATAGTATATTGCAAAAAGCTATATAAATACTAATACCTAAATATTAGGTTTCCTTTCTTGTCAGCTTTCCACGCCTTTATTAAACCAAAGTCACCTCGAATTGCCTCCTCCATTATGTATGGTGTACCATCGAAATCCCTAGACTAACATTTTTAGGTTAATAGTAATATATAGTTATAATATGTAGTCATAATAGTCATAATATATATGTTATTTGCAAAAACAGTTTTTGAGACCGAGGGAAATATTTCCCTATACGGACCGACTTAACTGGTAAATAATAGTTTTTTTTCTTGCGGTCTGAATTCATATTTTAGCGTTGGCTCTGTGCTGTAAAATTTCGCGCAGTCCGTACGGCCTCATACTGACCGCTCGCGTAGCCAATCAGATTGCAGGAAACGCTAAAATATGAATTCGGACCGCAAGGAAAAAAATAAACGCTCTTATTTACGATATGTGCATGGCTGAACATTACACTGGATATGTATTTGATCGAGCTAGATAATGTCGCATTATGCGAATAGTTTAATACTAGCTTTCCACTATCTATTTTGTAAAACTTTAAAACTCGGGGTAAAGATAAAGTAAATTAATTTAAGTGGTCCAAACACGGCAATTCCATTAATTTTAAAGTTGTTTTTCAGCGTATGATTCTGTTATATGATGGATGCAAAAAAGAAATGCAAATTAATCGAGAAATGAATCGAGAAAAACGACGGGCACATGCAAACAATGCACAGACAGCATACCTCCATTAACCTTTTTGGGTATATACATGTATATCTCTATCTACAAAAGAGACTTCTAATCCACATTCTGCCATATACCTCTCTTGGCGTACTGACGATTTCAACACTTCCATCTTTGTTGTACTTGATTGGTGCTCCACCTTTGTGTATCACAGTTCCAAACGCGGTAGGTGTGAAGAACGCGGGAATACCTGCCCCACCTGCTCTTAGTCTTTCAGCTAGCGTACCCTTGAAAGAAGCCAAGATTGTTTGTGTGAGTGCTTTACCCAGTTTACGGAAATTAATTATCCAATATTTACGACGACATAAAACTTTACCAAATTGTTGTGACTTAATTAGCTATTTATATATTACCATATGTTGCAATAAAAGTTTCTATTGTACAGTGTAGCCTTAAAAATAGGAAGCTTTAGTACACTGCAGTTCTCCCAAAACTCCCCCTATCATTCTGCCAAAACTCCCACGTGTGTTTCTTTAACTGTATAGAAACACGGAAAATGTTTTCTATTTCTTAATTATCATACCTACCATACCACACTAGCTATATTCTCACACAAAACCACCCCACATCATATACAATACCATGTCACATCATACCAAACCAGACTATACAACAATACCATATCATACCATACCACAATATACTGTATCATACCATACCATATGCCTATTGTACCATATTATACCATACAATAACATGCATACCAATATTACCATACCTGGGGGGTTAATTCAACTTCTAATTCTCCAGTCAAGAATTGTCTTTCGAACTCCTTGTTTTCACCAACATAAGAGGATATCATTCTTTTAATCTTGAATGCACCAAAATAAATAAATTGAAACTACCTATCCTAGATATTATGAATTTGGGAGACACAGAAAATTTGGGAAATTTTATTCACTATACATATATATATATATATACTCATACATACCTGTTTAGACCCTAATAAAAGGCCAAGGCCAAAGTCATCAACCCTAAATATATAATTGCATGGCTATAAAAAATGGGTATAAAAATATATTATGGTATAGGGTACCGTAGTCAGCTAGGCTACAGTATTTGTGCCAGTGCGAGAATATAGTCATTGTGAAACTTTAGGAAGAAACTTAATTTACTGGCAGATTATCAAAGCAATTGATCATCAGGCCTGTTTAAGGCAAAGTCATACCCAGCATTGTTGCTGACGACGGTAAGCCCTTTGACTTTTGTTTGTAGCAAACCTTGAATAAGATTTTCTGGAATGCCGCACAAGCCAAATCCTAAAAATGATAATTCAAACATATGAACAAAATAAGTATTTCAATGAGGAATAATAAATTCGATTTATAATAAACTATTTATACAATTAATAGACGTAGTGCTGTGCACAAAGTACATCAAAGTTGCAATGTTGCGACTTGTCAGTATTTGAGTAATTTTAGTTCACAAATACCTTAATAAACTACAAGCAAAAAACTCGGATAAATAATTGAAATCTTCTAAATCTTAGCACAAAAGTCATTCAATTGTCATTCTCACTCAAGTTCTATTCGACTGTTAATTTTCTGTTATCTATATTTTAATTCAATTACCACTAATGGCAACAGGCTACATATATGCACTATGATGTAACTTGCAAGAGCTTGATAAATACACAAACAGATACCTCCAACTAAAACCTTTGAATCATCTTTAATATCCTTGACAGCTTCATATGTACTTGAAAAAAATTCAGCATTTGCCACTGAGGTTGTTGAAAGGGCATGTGAGAGCTTCCACTAAATAAATTAACACTATTGTTGATAAAAACAAAAATAAACAAATTTCATTTTGGAATGCTACAGTTATATATAAGAGAAAACATACTCCAAAGAACATCTTATAAACCTTAAGATTTGAGTTTGAAAACAATTAATTAGAAATAATTACTAATATTAATTAATTATTTTTCTGATAATGTAATTATTGAATTAAAATATAGGCCTTGATAAATTCTTACTGTTTATTTTAGTAATTGGCAATTCAAGGCTGGCTCTCAAAAAATCCATCACATCACTAATATACATGTAAAAGTCAATATGGTTTTTCCTGGTTGACTGAACAATGTTGTACTGCACCCAACAAACATGCGTGGTTGTATAGCAACTTCTTGAAGTCACCAAGTTGCTAAAACTTGGTTGATAAGAACCATGTTCCTGCTGTACAGCACACCATTGTCTCAGTCCTGTTTTCATCAACCAGGAACAACGTATAAATAATTTTTTGCCATACATAGTCTTTCAGACCTTTTGTTATTAGAAAAGTCATATCTCAAAGATATATTGCCACATGTGGAAATGCCAATAATTAATTATTAATGAATGAATGGTCAACGGTATTCATTAGGATTTAGGAAACAGTAAAATCGTGCCAGGTATAAATAAACAAAGCTACTAACATTTATGACCATTGACGAAGCGTTAATTGATACGTTTCATAATTATTTACATAAAATTAAGTTTAGGTAACCGCATATACACGTCGTGTTTTAAATGGAAATTTGTAAAAATTAAAGTAATAAAATATTAACTGAAAAGGAAGACATATTCAAAAGCTAAGATATATAATAAAAACAAGATGTAATATTTCAATAACGCGAAAGTTGTGATCTTGAACATAAGAATCATCACGCTGTCTGATAAACTATATTCGAATGTCAATTGCTCACGCGGTACGCCTGATGCCACATCATAGAACATTGCTTCTGCTGCAAACTATGCAATGTCCACTATTGAAAAAAAACGACTTACACTAATTGGCCGCGATCGTACACCAACATAAGGCACAGAGCCATACAATCTTCCCAATCGAACAATTGTGGACACCATGGCCATGTTTATTTCTGTGTTTATTTGCTGAATCTTGGAGACTGGGAATTAGTAAACTGGAGACTGGGTCACATCTATGGTCACACATCTTACACACCCCCAAGGCAGATTAGGATTTAAGGTGGAATGTGGATAGTTATGGATGTTCTGATGTATATGGGACCCGTAGCTCCGTATTAAACTTTCCACTTGTCAAAGAAGAAAATGTGGTTGCGCTAAAACTAAGGGCCTGTTTATATGATCCCGTTTAGCCGGGACGGGATGTTTTCATCCCGCTTAGCCGGGAAACTCGCCTAGGCGGGATGGCGTGTTTATATGGAGTTCATTTTGTAGTGCAGGTTCCTTCGACGGCATGTTTTATTGTAGAAAACGAATATGCCAATATATACACATGCTCCTAATGTATGTTAATCGCGAATCATCCCGGCCAAGCGGGATGGAGTGTTTATATGGCAATTTCTCGTCCCGTCTAAGCGGGATCCCGGCAAGAAGTGCCGGGATCCCGCCTAGGCGGGATGGAAAAGTGGTCATGTAAACACTAATTAGTGTTTGTATTACAAGCGGGATCTCGGAAACTGTCCCGTCCCGGCTAGGCGGGATCATATAAACAGGCCCTAAGAGCGTATGGTAACAATAATTGCGATATCTTCTGATGGTCAATTTTATAGGAACGCAATTATTCACGTTGTGAACTTAACCAAAAAAAATTGGAACCGTGATGCATCACTGAAAAGCACAGTCTATTGTTTTCGAGCACAAAATAAATATATTTGTTCCCGTTCAAAATTCTGTTACACGGTTCATTTTTAATGTAACTGTTTCGGTACTTTGTGCAACGCTTGATAGATGCAAGTTGTCACGATTTTTGCCATTGCAAGGTAGTAAGTAATCTTGCTCGTTTTAGAATATTTGCGATTTCCTGGGTTGTCTATGTTTATAGCTGTCGGCAATCCAACGACCTCGCGTGATGTGATGAGTCTGTACGGTCTTATATAACGATGCATGCAAGGTGCGCTGTTCTCACCTTGAGTCCAAATGCCCGGCGGTGCATAGGATGGGCGTTGCATAAATAAAATATTTATCATACCGAAAAACGTATATATATTTCACATGGAGAAAAACGTATGTTTTTCAATGTGCATGATATTTTTTTGGTGTGTAAAAAAGTTCTCATTGTTTTTAAATGAATAGCCATTTTGCTATGAGTGTAGCTTAGGTATATATAAAGTGGTTAATATTAGGCCAGGCAATGGATTGGCCAACAAAAAACCAATTTTTACCAATATTTACATTCACTTCAAATAGCATTGTATTATGAATAATGAATGTTTTAAAATTGCAATTTAAGCCACATGATGCAAGGCAAAATTGCTTAACCCGGACGAAACCATGTTAGTTATATTCACTTTATGTTTCAACGTTCGATATATACTATGATAGCTTTGATTTTCCTTTAACGATTTGCCTTTAGCAAATAGAAAGTGTTCATGTAAAAATCTGTAAACGTATCCAGCCTTCCTTGGAAATGTATTTTCTCTGCAGAGAAAAAAGACGCCGATTAAAGCCACAAAAAAGTGTATAATTGTTAAAAGATAGTGAATGAATGAACTCCTATATTAAAATTGGTTCGTCTAAATTGTTGAGATTTATATATTTGAAAGTACTGCGGAATATCCCAAATCTACGCCAGTCTGACATCTCGCCTCCAGCGATAAAATAACAAGTTTACATGGTTATATAAACACCCATGCATGTTGGTAATGCAGTGAATGCTTGTATGCACTGATCAAAACTTATATAAAACTTGTATGCACTGATTAAAAGCTTTAAAACCACTTTCTTCACGGCTGCTGTTATAAAGAATGTACTATACGTACAGACTGACTCTACAGCTACAGATAAGTCGAGATAACTCGAGTAATTGTCTTAGAACTAAGATAACTGCATGAGAAAAATCATATTTGAACGAAGGGCGATATGGAATATGTTTGACCAATCGTAGATGTTGTAACGTAAAGATTTCTAATAATATAATATTTATATAATAAACAGCGTATTACATCGAAAATTTGCCGTCCTTACTTCTCGTGCTACGGTCATGGCACTCGTGAGTATATAAATTCATTTTGACACAAATAAAATCCATATAGCACAACATGTAACATTCTTTGCATATATTTTGACTCGAATTAATTCTTTTGCTTTCTATAAGCAAAACATTTCATTTTCGTGCTTGATTCCATATAAAATGATCATACTACGCAATATGGAAACTGAAATATTTAATCTCCTCATAAGCGCGTGTTCGCAACTATTTCATCACTTTATATTATCATTAAAAAACCTATCAATATACATGCACCTATTTACTGGTCTAAATAACCAAGCCATGATTAATCCAGTTTAAATGGCTGCTGCTATAAAAAAACACACCATGGATTGCCGTGGGGTGCTTCCCATTTACCTTGGAAATTCCTGTCGGAAAAAAATGCTACAAAGCAGTAGAATGGTACAAGCACTTCCTATCGGAACTTTCCGAACTTATCTATCGCAGTCAAGATATGAAAATAAACCTGATTGCGTATTGTTGAACAGTTAATTAATTATAAGCGAATCGCGGGTCCAGGTATAACGACACCCGATTCGGTATTTTCCCGAGTCGTTGGCGAAGGATAAAATTTTGGCGGAACCTGAATAACGATATATGCACACTGCTGGTTCTGAATTTTTAAAGAATGTTTCAACTCAAATCTGGATTTATCTTTAAGGCATGTTGAATCTGAACTGTTATAATTGATTTTGACTAATTCATAATACTAACTAATAATTCGCCACGACGCCACGAGGGCAATCAATAAAATTAACCAATTCAAGTACGCATCATTGGAAACTCGGCCTGTACTACATATTGCCTTTATTATTGGGTGAAAACGTCTTACCGATGGGTTGGTAAATTAAGAAGAACAATTCCAAACTCCGCATGAGTCATTGCCAATATTAAGTAATAAAATGTTATGAATTTAAGATGTTTTCCAATTTGCATAAATTTGTACTCGTTATCCGGCGGAAAATGCAAGTGCCGTTCCGCATCAAGTGCTAGATTGCCACCACAAATATCAGGTGCTCTTGTGGAATCTTAACTAATTCGTCGATTTTACGATATCAATAGGTTGTATTTAATCTACCTAAACGGGGCAAATCGACAAAGTCAACTTATTAAATCATTTGTTGTCTCTAAATTTCGAAAGTTTGTTCGGGCCCTTGACTGTTTGCAGGAACACTTAAGTGTTCATGAATATTCGACAATAGCATTATGCATTCTTATGCAGGTAGTTTATGACGTGTAGCGGATCCAACTTAACACTCCTACACAAATCCTGGTTTTGTTTTGTGTAAAATTAGGGCGAGAAAAGCGCCTCCTTACAGTGGCATTTCCTTTAGTATTATCTTGGCAAGAAGCAACAGCCTGCCCATCTTTCGACGAAATTAATTGACGTTTTCGGCTGTAAACATCGTTTAATATCTATCAGTAAACGGTCTATCCATAAGCGAACGTCTATAAACAAATATTCGAAGCATCGCAACTGAAGTTCAAAATGAGCAGGGGACGTTCCTTGGAGAGTATCAAACAGCGGATAAGCGACCTGAAAGTTTCGATCGAAGAGGCCGAAGAACGGGAATCGAAGGCAAAGTCGGATCTCTTAGTTGCCACTGAGCGGGAAAGGAAGAGCGAAACCGATGCGAGATCGCTGAGAAATCGGATTGCGACCTTAACAGCCGAGCTCGAACGGGTGAATACAAATGTTGAAGCAATCATTAATCAGGTAGATCAAAATGCCGTTCGATCTGAGGAATCGGAAAGCAATCGCAAACGGCTTGAAGAAAAAGAAGAAGAAGGTTTTGAGATGTCGAAAGAGATCGAGGAAAATGCAAAACAACAAAAGTATGATCTGGAAGAGAAGGAAAATCGGTATAAGGAGGCCTCACTTCGAGAAAAGGCGCTCAACGCTGATTTGAAACGTGTTGAAACAAAGTTACAGAGGGCCGAAGAAAAAGAGGGGAACTTCCTACAGCAATTGAGCGAATTTTCAGATCAAACCGCTTCTTTGGAGAACAACGTGAACGCTTTGCATGAGAAAGAAGACGACTTCAAGGAGAAGATCACGTATCTAGACGATCAAATAAAGCAAGTCACCGCTCTGAATGAAGAGAAGAGCGCCAAGATTAAGATAACCGAACGCATGAAGGAAAGTCTAAACAAAGAGATTAAAAGCAAGCAGGAAAAGTTAAAAGATATCGAGAAACAATTTGAAGAAATTGAGCAGGGAATGTGAACAAGTCTGGCACAAAACAAATATTTGCATATAAATGCTATAGTGCATGCCTGCAATGACACTTTGTTTTAGATATAGTTTACTTGTCATCCATATTGTGATAATTTGTATAGGTTTTATCATTTCTAGTTTACTGCATGGGAACTCAATATATTTTTAACAACTTTGTATGCTCGTGGTTTAGTACGCCCTTCGGCTGATTGAACAGTATATGTTTAGTTATAATCGACAATATGCACCGAAAAAATGCGCCTTTCGAAGGCCCATATACATTGTCACGAAAATTTTTATTAGATTTTTTTACAAGAATTAAGTGAACTTATTATTGTCCAAACTTAACTGCATTTACATGTATTTGCACCGCATAGGTCGAAGACTCGAAAATGTGCTAAACGGAATAGGTGATCTCTAATGAATTGTTTTCTTAAATAATCTTCCAAATTTCAAACTCCTTTTAATAACCGATTAAACTGAATTTCTGGAGCCGTTCATGTGATCTGTCTATCCAAATAACCGAATCTGTGACAGAAGCTCCAGCATATGGAATTTGCACTGTATAAATAAGTCTTGCCAGATGCAAATCTCATAAAGCATGCTGCCTGATGCTGCGGGACCCAATTATCTCCAGTCTTGGAATAAATTTGATGATAAAACATTTTTGAACTAGAAATGTTTTCTCAGCTTTACCTACATTCAGTCAGAGTTATACGTTGTGAACATTTTACTCGCATCACCGCGGATATTAGAGTGGTCTCACTGTTGATTTTATTCGACGTCTCTCCTTTGTTTGCAACTCAAAGTCACGCGTGTGAATCAAGCCATTCAGGCGCATGGGTCCCAGTGAGCTCCACACATACCTGGAGTATGAACCTGTCATAGTGAGCTCTATATTTGGAGTAGCACCAGTCATTTGGTTTATGTGAAAGTGAATCCGAAGATGGCCGAAACTTGCAGGAGCCATTGGGAAATTTTGGAGCATATTCCGTGAAGAAAATGTCGTTTGGGGTTTACGAAATATTATAGAGAGTGCTCAATACCATATATATAGATACAGCAGATATAAAAGTATTGCTTACCAAAAATCGTCCACTACAGTCCATATACAGTGTTTCATCCGTATGGAAAGAGACTTTCACAATTTAAGTGAGAATTTTAGATTTAATTTTAGAGTTAATCCTTCACTATAGCTAAATTTCAATTTAAAACATCAAAACAGCACAAATAATTTAAATTTATGCAGACATTGCAGTTGACGATATAAAAGCTTTTAAAAGTGATATTTCATATTTGCTATATCAAAAGTTAAAACGATGATGTGGACTGATGCCTTTAATAGTCGGTTAGGATATCGCAAAACAACATACCAAGCTCATACTCAAATAACTCAATGAAAATAAGTGCATTCTTACAGCAATTCGAAATAAACAAAACCTGCCACTTCAAGAAATAAGGATTATAAACTAGGAGCATAGGCAGCCCGGTTAATGCGGGTACTGCATACTATCTTATGTATATAATTATCTTAAGGCTGCCAAATCTCTGACAAAAAATACAATATATACATATACACTAACACCATATAGCTTGAAACATAAAAATTACGCAAGTTTCTTAAAAAAAAATAGATGCGAAACACCTTCGGTATATTTACGAAATTTATCCGTCATTTTTAGACTTGAAAATAACCCTATTATAGCTTATCAAATTTCGTTAAACAGAGACGGAATGCAATTCACTCAAACATCATCATCAGAAAAATCGTCGGCAGATTTCTGATTGACAGTTGAAAGTTCGGAAAATCACGAAGACATCTTTTCTTCATTGAGTTGGCCTTTGTAATTCTCTGAACTTTTCGATAAAGATACACTTTTTATTTGCAAAATTTAGGCATTTTTAGGTTGTTTTCAAGTCTAAAAATGACAGATAAATTTAGTAAGTATATATCTTCTTTTTCACCGCTAGTAATGATTTTTTTATTTTTTCTTAGTGTTATATCATTTTGTTTGATTTCACATCAATTTTCATTTGTGTTCATGTGTTTACGAAACAATTAAAAAAAAGAGTTTCAAAAATTGACAGTTACAGTCGTGCCAATAGAAGCGTTCCGAAAAATGTTGACCAGTTCATTTTCTAACTTGAAGCAACACATCTGAACATATCCTCAACAATTTGAAAAGTTCCTTCAAAGTTTCTAACTTCCTGTTTCATTGACCAATCAGATTTTATATTTTATTTTTGAAACAAGTTAGGAAATGAACTGGTCAACATTTTTTGGAACGCTTCTATTGGCACGACTGTAAATTGCTGACGTTTTTCATTGAAATACAACCTTTTAAAAACACATTAACATTACAATATAGATCAGAATATCATAGAATGTATACTAGTAAAACTTGTAAAATGAAGTGCTACATTGCAATAGTCAATGTAGCCACATGCAGGTAGCTATTTAAAATGTAATTTAAAAGTACTTAAAGAATTAGCTTCCTTCACAGCAGTTGGTAGTGTATTAAAATCTTTGCGCGATAAATAACTAAAAGTTTGTGTGCCTTAATTAATTTTTACTATTTGAAGCTAGGTGAGAGTCGTTTTTACTTCCTGTGTTGTACTGATGAACGTCGCTGTTTATTACAAAGTCGAACTGACAATCAACTTGTTCATTCTTTATCTTATATATTAACAGACAACGATGGTAGAATCTCCTTTCACTGAGCGGCTTGAATTTCAGAGTACTTAGGGCATCGGTCGACAAAGCATACATTGGCAAATCAAGTATGGTCTCGGCTGCCTTATTCTGGACTATTTGTAGCATGTCATGTTCATTAACGACGTGTTAATATCTTTATCGTCCGAAACAATATAGTCCGTCCAAAATAGGTAATATAAGAGCGTTGTATAAAGTGACCCTAGCATGACGTAAAGTCTTGACACGCCGTAAAAGGCCAATAATATTAATACGCTGGTTTGCCTTTGATATTATATAGATTCAATGTGATTCCAAGGTAGTTAAATGTATCTACACGGCCCAACATTGTCCCATTGATACCGATGGAAACACCAGAGCATGCAAGATCGTTCATGGCCACCAATTAGCATGAATTTAGATTCTTCTCATTCAAGATTAGGAGATTGTCGATCCGTGAACTATACTTTTGAACATTTGCCAGATCTTCGTTTAATTTTTCTCAATATCGTTGACAGTCTTTGAAGAAAAGTAAATGACAGTATCATCCGCATACATAGAGATATTACATGACTTGATACAATTGGGTAGATTTTTCACATAGATAATCAATAAAAGTGGCCCAAAAATACTTCTTTGTGGGACCCCTACATTCACAGGCTTTACAGAGGACTTTTCACTTTTTATTTATTATTAACTCTTATTTTAAACCAGTAGCCCTTCAACACACTTGTTTTCCAAGTGACCATTTTAATATTGACAAAGTATTACATGTAATAAATGTATGGATGCATAAAGACACATGCATAAAAAAATCAAAGTATGACATGCAAGAAAGCTGTTAGAGAGATATTTACCGAAAAAGAATTCAAGAGACAAGAATAGTCACACATTATTTGCGGTTAAGTTAGCCTTCTCCGCAAGCATCTCTTATGTATTAATTTTTTCCCGCCCATCCGACACAGCTAGCCCAAACCATATATGCATATTTTCAATACATAAGAGATAGGCTACGGTAAAGGCAGCCTTAAATTGGCCTATTGACATGTTTGTTGTTTCTATTTTATTTGACAAATTGTTCCACGCTCTTGCTTTATTATATAAATAATACTTTTTCATATAATTGGTTTTTGTTTTCGTAAGAAAAAATCATTACCCTTACTACGTAAATTATAGCTTTAGTTATTAGAAATTTGGGACAATGTTTTTATAATTTCCAGTAACTCGCTATTTTTCACTTGATACATAAATAATATATACTTTATTTTTCTCTCATTGGTCTGCTAAAGTTTGCCAATTTATTTCCTTAAAAAGATCTTTTGTTTCTATTTCATACGAACTGCCAGCATTTTGCATTTTTTGCAAATTTTCGCGCAGATATTCACTGCAGTTATTCTAAACACGGCTAAAGTAATCAAAATATGGCAGTATTATCGCATTATAAACATTCATCAAAGCTGTTTTAGGGGCAAAACTTTTATTCTTCTCAGCATACCTATGCCTTTAAACACCTTATACATGCAGGGTAGTTTTCACTTGTTTTTTTCCATAAAAGTTGATCAACAATGATAATGTCTAACGTTTTTGGATATTTGGAAATTTTTGCATAATTTTTGTTTCACCTAGTTCTATTGGGGCAGTTTCAATCATTGATAATCTCTGTCGTAAACCAATAATCATATACTCCGTTTTATCCTTATTCAAAGTTAATTTAGTCGCTAAAGTTAATAACCATTGATGAATAATATGCTCTAAATTAATACACACGTTTGAATATCTTCGGCGTTAAAACCTTTTGTCGATATGTTGGTGTCATCTGCAACCATATTCGCAATTGTATGCGATAAACAGTTCGGTACATCGTTTATATGCAGGAGAAACAGTAGTTGTCCCAACTTAGATCCTTGGGGTACTCCACAACGGATTATGTTATGTTGCGACCTATCTTACACATTTGAAAGCAAATTTGTTAAATATGATTTAAGCCAGTTATAGCCTATTCCTTTTATACCATAAAGCTGTAATTTTTTAACAAAATACTGCGGTTTACGCAATCAAATGCGAAATGCTTTCTTTAAATAAAAAAATATAACCCCTTTCAAATAGCCATCAGTAAGCGCGGTTGCATAGCATGAGTGCATAGCAGTGAGCTCTCTCTCTATATATATTATATGGAGTAGGAACTTCGCTCATTTGGCTAATGTTCAAGTAAAGCTAAAGATGGCGCGAAAATGCAGAGAAAAAGATATAATATAATATAAAATAAATTAAATCTGTTTCCATTCATGCTCTTTTAAAATGAAGAAAACAACAAAAATCTAAGATTTCGTTTCATATGACTTCAGCTGTCACTGAAAAAGTTTAGTAATTTTAGTAATATTATTTTTATGCGAAAACAACGTTTGTTTTTCCCAACTGGAAATTAAAATTTCAATTTTTCGCCTTTTGTACTATTAGTTGGAAAAACGGAGACGAATAACTGCAG